AGCGGTCTGTAAATAATCGAGTCTGGACCAGACAATCCAGTGATCAACATCATGAGCATCGATCTGCGCAATTGGGAACCAATGACATATGTCCACAAAGCCAGCGAGCCTGGCCACCTGATCCCTTTAGTCGCCTCTTACGACAAGCATTGGTTACTGAAGGCCAATATTCTAACCCGGACCTTCACGGGTAAGTTAAGAGTGAAAAACGCAGAGAAATGCATGAAGAATTACAACTATTTGGAAGCTTAAAAGTCTTGCTATAAATGTTATTTCTTTCAAATAACTATATTGACATGGAAATAGATAACATATTCATTTGCTATTCAATAATAATAATAATTAGTCCATTTATATTGCGCTAAATCCACATAGCGTAAATAGTTCATTATTACCCCGGATTTTGGGGCTCACTGAAGTAGCCAAAGGCACACAAGAAAAGTCTTGATGAGCAACCTTTGACGCTCCTGGGACATTTTCTATTACCCGTTGTTCAGATCTGTTGCTCACGGACAGGATCACTGGTAGGAAACTACACAAACATTTGTCATTATACATCTGCATAATGATTGAAATAAAATCTGAATGAAGCCATGCTTAGTTACAGTATCACAATATTATTCTAGAGTTTAGTTAAAAGTGTGTTTTAATTTTTTTTCCCTCTTGAGTCTGAAAGACAGACTTGTCAAAATATGACACCAGAAATGTTGACAACTGCGGTCATTAAATAGGATGTAATAAAAAATACCTTCATGAACACTTTAGCTGCTATGCTACTCAACATTTGAGAAGGATTAAGGGCTTTTTGTACAGTTACACAGAAATACAAATATTACGCAAATATTTATGTGAGAGCTCAATTCCTATAATATTAAGTCTATTAGCGCATAAGTATGCTAGAATTTTTGTAATTACTCAATAAATTTGATCTTACATGCATTACACACAAAAGGTTCTATTTCAGTACACATGAACCTGGCAACTTGCAGTAAGTCTTATCGTAACTGTTTTTAGTGGGGAGGAGTGCAGAGAAGTGACAGCCAGGTGTTCGAAAAGCACGTTCACAGACAAAGTTATTTATTCATTAACCTGTAAGCTGTGCTGTCTCCATCCGTTCTCGAACACCTGGCTGTCCCTTTCTCTGCACTCCTCCCTCGTAACAAACAGTGAACTGTGTCAATATTTTAATGATAGATTGTTAAACAACTTTTTTATTTTTAGGACAAAAATTCTGCAAAAACCTCAAAGAGTGGGTATGATGTTTTGATTATGATCAGCGTTTCATTGGGTATTTTATGTTTATTAGTTTTCGAGTTAGATTGCAATTCATCGGTCCGCTTTTGAGCCAAACGGACTATAGTGGTCTTACTAGTTAGTAACCCACTTTTAAAATGAGAGCAACCGCCCTTACCTTAATGCCACCTGTTTTAATCTACTCAAGCATGACGGACAATTGATGCATATTGAGCAGTTTCTTCAGTTATTAAGCTTTAGTTTGCAATGAATTGATTGGATTGTGTAGTAAATACTCCAAAACTTTGGTCAGGAGTTTGTGAAAATACATGCTTTAATCTGTCAGCCTGTCAGATTTGTTGTTAGAGAATTGATATGAGACCATATTGTTGTTAAAGAATTGATATGAGACCAGATTGTTGTTAAAAAATCGATATGACACCAGATTTGTTGTTAAAGATTTGATATGAGACCAAATTTGTTGTTAAAGAATTGATATGAGACCAGATTTGTTGTTAAAGAATTGATATCAGACCAGACTTGCTGTTTGTTGTTGATAACAGATTATTGTGTAAAACATCATGGTCAGTAGTTGGGCAAAACATTAAAATGTCATTGCAGACTTCAATTTTTCAAAATGTCTGAATTGTTGATATGTGTTAAGCAGGGCTGTTATAATTAATTCACATATTTGGTGAATCGAACCATATCCTTTAATGAATTCAGTTTGTTATTTGCAATCGCTAGAATCAAATACCCATGATTTTTTTCTAGAGAAGTATTTAACTTGAATCTTGGTGTTACTTATCAAAGCAAGATAAAAGTCCTATATTTGCTGTTATAGGCCTGTTATAGGCACTGAACTAAATTATGTCAAGATAACACATTAAGACCAGAGATGAGGTGAGGTGAAATTGGGTTTTACATCGTGCTTGAGAATATTTCGTTCAAATGACGACGTGCATGTGTGTGTATGTGTATGTGAGGCTGCTTGTACTAGCCCAGACTGAAGCTGGTTTTATAGTGCTAGCCCAATGAGATACCATGCCACAGTGAAGCATGAATACCCCACTCAGACACATTATACTGACTCCGAGCCGACCAGTCCTTGTTGTACCCATTAATGCCGAGCGCCAGGCAGGGTCCAACAAGTACCATATTTTAACGTCTTTTGGTATGACGCGGTCGGGGATCGTAAGACCAGAGAATAACCAGTCCCAGTTATCTCCTGAAACAGACTACCTTGAGTGGAAAAAATAATAACTGGCAAAAAGATCATTGAAAATCACCAGGTGATCATTAGAAATTGCACAGTAATCCATATTTTCTTGTGTATACTACAGATAATAACAGGAAATAGCATGGGGTATATAATTGCTGTGTAAGTGTTACAAAAAAGTTTGAACCAAGTCACTATTGTTTAATTTCTGAAAATACAAGTAACTGGTGTGTGTTCAAAAAATGACCATTTGAATTATGTGATATATATTTCTGTTTTTGCCTTAGGAGAAGGAAAATAAATAATGCTTTTCAGATATTTTGTTTGAATTTGAACATAAATACAAACTGTTTTCCAGATCTGACATGATCAACTCTGTGCTAGTGACCTTGCTTCAAGTCATTTCACCTTGCTCTGTGTTGAGACAAGTTTCGTGTGTTAAATGGAACCAGCCTGTGGCTAAATATAACGCTGATGCAACCATGCTTCTCTTCTTCCTGCTGTCTCAGCTGTTTCAGTATACTGGTATATGTAGGTGTTTGTCATGCTTCAATGACTACTGTAAATATTCATGAAATAAACAGACATATGTTTGCAATATTTTGCTCCTCCTATACGACACTGTGTGATATTAGAAAGATTTTTGTCAGTATATTTTCTCAGAAAGATGTTTTTATAAACATATTCATATGAACATGTTAATTGAAATGATAATTAAATGTATATTTAGATATAAGTATGAAGGTTTTATGGACTGTATGAATAAATTCAATCTCATATTGATCCTTATGTCCTATTTTAGATTAATGTCTTATCACCATGATAGAAAGAAAATACTTTCTGATAGAGTGGTTTCCTATTACAATGAGAAAATAGTTTGATCTTCCATTATCAGGGGTGGAAATAACTTTAAAATTGCTAGTGTACTCCGGTACAGTGGCACATGTAAAATCACTTACCCTGATAGCCTCTTGCCTCGTTAATTATAATCATCATCTTTGGGGTAATCTGTGTATAGGAAAAACAATTGGCTGTAAAAAAGAACCAAAATAGAATATTTCCACCCTGAAATGACTGAGTTTGATTCAGGAGGTGATGGGATAGAACCGAAGTGGTTAAAGCATAAATGACTCAGCAGGCCAAAGAGCCAGGTTTGATTTCCCACATGGGGGCAATGTGTGAATCCCTTTTCTGATGTCCCCCGCCAAGATATTGCTGGATTATTTTGCTACAATGCCATAAAACTGTACTCACTCCAAAGTGACATGACGGATTATTAAGATTGAATTGAAGTTTGAACTATTTGGCACAACAGATTAACAGTGAAAGAATTGGGTGTTCTTTAACCTAATTTGAGTGGTATATATGTATTATAGAAGCAGTCTGAATGTAGATTATCAGTGAATCCTTGTGAGTTTGTGTACACAGATACATGCTCAGATTTCTATAATACACCATCTTAGTCACTTGACAGATTGATTTTGTGTTGTCCAAGCACACTCTGTATACGTATGTGTACTGACCGATAGGCTTCTAGTGTATATGTATGGCGTATTGACTTGATACTTTCAAGTGATGTTCATCTGGTGCATTGTGGGAACTAAATAACCCGAGATGGATGATGAGATGCCAGTCTCCTGAGGCGCCCTCGCTATCACTAAATAATAACACATATTGGTATTCAGTAATTAATATTTACCTTGAGCATCGTGTTTTCCCATGATGGCCTCTGTAACTATAATACGAATGAGGGGCTATTTGCCAATCAGTGATGGTTCATCGCTTCATTGCTACAGATTACAGATGAGAGGATAAGGACCGAGTGACGATCCATTTAATTATCGACGGACCTGACCAGTAGTTATTGAGGTGGATACTGACTTGTTCCATTTCAACTGGACGTGTGACTGGCTTGAGGCTGTTTACTGCAGTAAATAACATTGGATCTTCTATTTATCTTGTTGATAATGATCAAGTCCACAGTTAATTAAGAGTTCTGTGTGAAGAAAAAGCTTCTCTTGATCTTACTGAGCAGTTTTGTTTTCATCATACCAGGCAGTCTTGTTTTGATCATATTGAGCAGTCTGTTTTGATCATATTAGGCAGTCATGTTTTGATCATACCGGGCAGTCTTGTTTTGATCATATTAGGCAGTCATGTTTTGGTCATACAGGGCAGTCTTGTTTTGATCATATTAGGCAGTCATGTTTTGGTCATACCGGGCAGTCTTGTTTTGATCATATTAGGCTGTCATGTTTTGATCATACTGAGCACAGGACATATTTCCACCAATTTGAGTTTATTGCTTGCGTTTTTGATAACTTCAGATATTTCACAAATGAAGAAAAGATAGATGTTTGTGCAGCATCAGGCAACCGCAGAGAATGATGTTTTGCAGTGTCAAGACTCAAACAACAAGAAAACACTTATTTTTTATGCCTTTCACTTTTAAACCATGTGCTTCTGCTAGCCCAAGAAACAATGCTAATGTTGAATACAAACAACTGTTGAATTTCATAACATGTAATTTGTGTTTTGTGTATTTCAGAAGCGAGGTCGAGGTCTTAATGTGCCCCGTCGACTGGAGAAGGGGGCCAGTCACTTCATCTCGGAAAAAGAGGTACTTTTATGTAACATGCTTTACACACAAGTTTGTTGTCAATACAAATTTGAGTTAATACAAATCCATATAAAAGTCACGTGATCATTATCTTAGTGTTCTGCAGCACCTTCCCAAGGCAAGAGTATCCCTGCCCTTTTAAGCTGACCTTTCTTGGCATGTTGGTAGACCACCCTTTGCGGAGCAAGAGTTGCTCCCCTTGTGATGAAAACACATGATCAAATCAGACCACTGTTTTTAATTTCAAATGGCTTCACAAAAATGATGCTTGCCATGGAGTGAGTGAGTATAGTTTTACGCTGCTTTTAGCAATATTCCAGCATTATCACAGTGGGGGACACCAGAAATGGGCTTCGCACAGTACCCATGGATCGAACCCAGACCTTTGACGTGATGAGCGAATGCTTTAACCACTAGGCTACCTGACCACCCCTAGACTGCCATGGAAGATGATTTGATCAGTTATATAACAAAAGATTTGGGATTACAAAAAAATGAAAGCTTACAGAAAAGGTTTTTATAAGTGTTAAATTCCCCTTATATAGTAGTGGAGGCTCATGGACTACACAGCATCAAGTGACACTGTACATGGTGGAACGGTGGAGGATGTCAGAAAATAGTCTCATGTTTCAGTTACTGCAATAAACGCTTAGTCATTCAATTAAACATTCAGTGATGTTTGTCCCCATACATAAAAGACACAATTAAAGCACTTGGGCGATTTGATTGCAGACTTCAAAACTGTTTTTCTTTCACTTAACAACCAGCTGGTGGTGTGTCCCAGCTCTCCATTGTTAGATATAAGACGCAACTCAATTGTAATGGATTTGGTGTTAGAATTGGTTACACAGTAACCTGACTGAAAGTGGCAGCTAATGGATTGAGTGTACATGGTCCATGTCGTATTACCCAACAGAATAGCTCCATCCGACATTGCTGCCTGCACCCCCCTCTTCCCGGTCCCACCTGTTCCTACATGGGTATATATATAGAGAGAGAGAGAAAGACACATACAAACACTTCTTTGGATAGACACACTCGCACACACACTTGAAATCACACACACATTAAAATATAGATACATTGCTGTCATGGTCTGTATATACACACAGAGACACTTAGACACGTATATGTAGACACACACAGACACACACACACACTCAGAGAGAGCGAGAGACAGAGACACATGCACAGATAGACAGACACAGAGAGAGAGACACACACACACACACAGAGAAAGAGAGACACACATACTCCAAGAGAGAGTGAGAGAGACAGAGGCACACGCACAGACACAGAGAGAGACACACACACACAGACACACACACACTCTCACAGAGAGAGAGACACAGAGGCACATGCACAGACAGACAGACACACAGAGAAAGAGAGACACATACTCCAAGAGAGTGAGAGAAAGAGAGAGAGAGACAGGCACACGCACAGACAGACTAAGAGAGAGAGAGACACACACACCGAGAGACAGAGAAAGAGAGAGAGACACACACACACATACTCCAAGAGAGAGTGAGAGAAAGAAAGACACACACAGTCTCAGAGAGAGAGAAAGAGAGAGACACACACACACATTCTCAGAGAGATAGAAAGAGAGAGTCAGTCTTAAGAGAGGCTGAATTTCAGCTCTGTTTAAATAACTAATTACTTCAATACATCCACACAAAACAGTAACACACCTTTAATAAAAATGTGGCTCTGATTCCTGACAGGGTGAAGAGTCAACTCGCTAACCTCATACAAAACTACAATGTATAACCACGTGAGACAGCATTACAGCGTTAGGGAAAGCTAACCATGACACGCCTCACGGCTCCCCTCGTGTCCCGCATCAGTCATCTGTTGCTATCACAAAGGAAGGATTGCCAGATCTTTCATCCCCATACCTTGGGAAGTAGACCTGTAATTTAGTGGAGCTTTGCGGTAACACAAGCTTTAAGAGCAGTGAGCAAAGCTGTTTTGTGAAGACATGAAAAAGTTCATGAAAAACAGTTAGCTTGGATGACTAGTAATAGTAGTATGTGGAAAAGCAAATTGTAGTTGATCTCCATTTGTTGTATCAAGAGCTTCTGTGTTTGTAGATAGAGCACTGCTTGCTCTTCATGCTTGAATGGCCTTGAGACGTGGATGTAGAAGTATTAGAAATCATTGTATTTTAATATGTTGACAAGTTCATGGTAATGTATCGAGGGATAAAGTTTTCACTGTACAGTCCGTTTGGCTCAAAAGCGGACCGATGAATTGCAATCTAACTCGAAAATTAATAAACATAAAATACTCAATGAAACGCTGATCATAATCAAAACATCATACCCACTCTGTGAGGTTTTTGCAGAATTTTTGTCCTTAAAATAATAAAGCGTTCGAGAATGGATGGAGACGGCACAGCACAGGTTAATGAATAAATAACTTTGTCTGTGAACGTGCTTCTCGAACACCTGGCTGTCCCTTTCTCTGCACTCCTCCCTCGTAACAAACAGTGAACTGTGTCAATATTTTAATGATAGTTTGTTAAACAACTTTTGTATTTTTAGGACAAAAATTCTGCAAAAACCTCACAGAGTGGGTATGATGTTTTGATTATGATCAGCGTTTCATTGAGTATGTTATGTTTATTAGTTTTCGAGTTAGATTGCAATTCATCGGTCCGCTTTTTGAGCCAAACGGACTATAGTGGATAGTGAATCTGCCTGCAGAGTGGAAGATTGATGGTTATAATCCATGGCTGTGCCATACCAAAAGACATTAGAAGGTGGTGCTTGTTGTTACCAGGCCTGGTGGTGTGGGATAAAACATAGACTGCGAGGATCAGAGTCAGTGTACAGTATCTGTGTGCTGTATCTTTGTGGTCCTGTCACTTGGTGGGGCGGCGGGGTAGCCTAATGATTAAAGCGTTGGCTCGTCACGCCGAAGACCCGGGTTCAAATCCCCACATGGGTACAATGTGTGAAGCCCATTTCTGGTGTCCCCCGCCGTGATGTTGCTGGAATATTGCTAAAGCGGCGTAAAACCAAACTCAGTCAGTCAGTCTGTCACTTGGTGAGTGAATGAGTATCATTTTACACCACTTGTTGACAGCTAATGTTGACATCCAGGGAAGTACTGTAATCGTAGTTATTTTTCGCGTGGGATTATTTTTTGCGTGGGATTAATATTTCGCTCTTTTAGCGCAAAATGATTGTGCATCAATAATCATACCAAGCGAAATATTCATGGTCAAGTCATGACAAATACTCAAGTAGGAACAACATGCAATTTGTTTATTCTCTCAGATAACAACATCAAAACAATATACAAAGGAATAGAGGCATACACTAGTATACTAGTAATAGCGATCACAATCAGCAAATGTTTGTTATCAGTTTGTCAATTAATTGATAGCAGATTACTCGTAATCACAAAATGAACGAAGCTCACTTACATCAGTCACAAATCACAATGTTGACACAAGTATAATCCCACCTCTCTCTGATTTTTTTAGTAAACACGATTCAATTATGGCGACTAGCTTTGATCATTGCATGTCTATAGGTTGTGAAAACTTTGTGATTGACACCATCACTCAGGCGTTTGAAATGCGCGAAAAAACTACTGCGTTAATAGGTCTTTTGTGAACTTTCTGCGAAAATTGCACCCCGTGAAAATATAGACCATTAAAGTAGTTTGTCAAGAGCGCTCGTTAACAGTTTAACATGTCAAGAATTTTCATGTTTACTCAGTTCATTGTTTCCGCCCCCTCTAAATTTCACAAATGTGGAGGAAAACTTAAATTATGAGGCCAGTTTATTTTCACTCATGTTTTTTGTTTGTGAACATATTTAACTAAAAGGGCACATAATCATGTCACAGGCCCTAAAATATGTGGTATAAAAAATTTAATGTATGCGTGTGGAAATTTTTACTTCCGCTTCCAGCTTCCAGAACTGTATGCATATATATCCTGCTCAGCTTTTTCTAAGGATATTGTGGAATCTGAATGTGTGTGACTTGCTGCTTGGAGATGGTGTCATGCAAATACTGTCCCAGCAAATACTGTCCCAGCAACTACTGATAAGGATATTGTGCAATCTGAATGTTTGTGGTTTGCTGCTTGGGGTGAGTTTGTCTTTGTGCCGCATAGCAATATTCCAGCAATATCACGGCAGGGGACACTAGATATGAGCTTCATGCATTGTGCCCATGTGGGGAACCGAACTCGGTTCTTCAGCGTGTTGAACGGACACTTTAACGTTAAGGCTACCCCACTGCCCCCTCTGTCGCTTGGTATCTCAGTGGAGTAAGCTAGTGATGTTCTGATGATCGAAAAAAATCAAAAATCGATCGAAAGAAGGATAAAAAATTATTATCGATTGTAAAAAACATATTTTCAATTAATCGGAATTTTGTTGTTTTTGTATAACGCCCTTGAATGAAGTAAACTAGCCATCAAATTTGACGAATATTCACGAACAAACATGCGCTCAACAGCGTAAAGCTATGCACATTATAAAATTTTAACCACTTTTATTGTTTAATTACAATTTCAGTGTCTTTCTTGCATGTGTGCATTCCATTGCATGACAGCATTAGTTATAAAAAAAACATTTATTAGAAAAAAAAACTGGTGATTACTGGTGAATAAAATTGGTGATTACATTAAAAATGTATATATTTCGATTATAATTGGTTTCGATTCCCAACACTTAGGTAGCGCTGTTATACCAAAATCCAAACTAAAGCACAGAGCAACACACGTTCTACAAGTTAATCCCATTTCACAGCTCACTTTGTAAGCAGGTTAGGTTGCATTGCACAACTGGTATAAGAACTTGAAACAACGTGTGTTCACTCATGCGTTGAGCTACCTATTAAGAAAAAATATGTTTGCATTGTTACATTCTCTGGCTATGAGACTGAAGTAGGAGGTGCCTAATTAGCCTCAAACAAGTCAAAAAGTGTTGTTTAGAATAGCATATTTTGCAGACATTATCGTTTGGCAGTGTTTA